ATGCCTTTTCCCCAGCAGCATCCACAGCTCATGTCACTGCTCCTACGGGAAAGTTCTAAAATCAAATGCAAAGCAGTGGGCAGCACTCGGAGCAGGTGGAGAAGACACTTGACATCCGCTATCAGAGGACAGAGAGGAGGCCCAAGAGCGGAGTGAGGAAGGGTTCGGCATCGTCAAGGACCCAAGAGCGACAAGTATGTCTGGACCATGTCTGGGTTCGGGCTGAGGTCTCAAGCAGCAAGGGCCTCTCCGACCTGGTTGAGCCCCGGAACCCCCGGGGAGCTTGTTAAAAAGGACGGATCCCAGAGCCTCGGCCCTGAGGTGCAGATTCAGAGCCCAGGCACCAGTATCTTTTTTTTTTTTTTTTTTTAATCCTCACCCGAGGACATTTTTCCATTTTTTGTTCAGAAAGAGTGGGAGGAAGAGAGGAAGAGAGAGAGAGAGAGAGAGAGAGAGAGAGAGAGAGAGAGAGAGAAACATCGACGTGAAAGGGACACATCGAGTGGCTGCCACCCACACGACCAACCAGGGCCAGGGACAAACTGCAACCGAAGTACGTGCCCTTAGCGGGAACCGAACCCGGGTCTCTCCGACCGCAGGCCGAAGCTCCAACCACTGAGCCAAACCGGCCAGGGCTAGGCACCAGTATCTTTAACAAGCTCCCTGGGGACTCTGGTCCACAAGCAGCTCTGAGAACCATCACTGGTGGAACACTGAAGCCCAGGCTTGGGGGCAGCTGGGCCCAGAAAACCAAAGGAAATAGTGTAAAAGAAAGGAAAAGAGCAAGACTCTGCTTGTTTGAGGCACAGATGCAGGAACGATCAGAAAGCAGCTGAGTCGGCAGAAAGGCAGCAGCCGCACCATCTGTTCACCCCTCTCCTCGTTAATAACAGCGGGCGCTCACGGCGCCCAGTGACTCTGCCCCAGGTCCTTCCTGCGGCTGATGGCAGTCCTCACAATAAGCCAGCGACACTGGGAATCAGGCACCTAGTTCTCTGACCTGATAGTGTCAGGTGCCATTACGACGCCTTTGTCCGGATGAGGAACATCCATCACAGCGAGTAGGCGCCTGGCCTGGTCTTGGGCTGGGGGAGTGTGAGACTCGAATCTAGTCTGTCCCTGGAGCTCGGAGCTCCCTTCCACGCGGTACACTGGGTGCCACCGGGAGCTGGGCACAAAGAGGACTCCAGGTCTGGCCTCAGCCCATAGGGCAGTCAGCATAACTGAGGCCGGACGTCTTCCAGCAAAGAGCAAGGAGGACCGAGAAGGAGCAGTCACGGGGGGCGTGGCCACTTCGCACTGATGTCGGACGTGGCAGTGAGGTGTTCACTTAACCCAGAATGGGTGCCCTGTGTCCAATGCCTTCTGGGTGCCGGGGACCTAGAGGGAACACGAGGAGCGCACCCCTGACCTCATGGGCTTATGGTTCAGTGATGGGACAGATAGACCGTAAGTGTCTAGCCCCAAAACTCATTGAGTTCTGGGGACCTGGCCTGGACCGGGAGAACAGAGTGTGTGTGTGTGTGTGTGTGTGTGTGTGTGTGTCAGGGAGGGGGGTTGGAGGAAATGCCTTCAGGCCCAGCTCTGTATGCATAAGAATTAACTCAGTTCCAGCCCTGGCCAGGTTGGCTCAGGGGTCAGAGCATTGGCCAGAGGACCAAAGGGTCTCAGGTTCAATTTCTGGTCAAGAGCACAGGGTTGTAGGTTTGATCCCTGATGGGGGGCAACCAATCAATGTGTCTCTCTCACAGTGAGGTTTCTCTCTCTCTTTCTCCCCCTCCCTCCCTTCACTCTATCTGAAAAGAAAAAAAAATGTATGGAGGATTAACCAAAAAAAATAATTAAGTCAGTTCCAGGCAGAGAAACGACATCTGCAGGGGGTCTGAGGCTGGGGCATCCTGGCTCATTTGGGAAACAGAAAGGTGGTCCCCGTAGCTATGGTAACTCAGAGGATGGGGAGCCAGATCCTTGGTGTGTAGACCGTCACAGACCTTCGACTCCTGACACGGAGTCGGCATCAGCCAGGCCAAGGCAGGAAAGGTATTTCAGGCAGAGGGAACATCATAAGCAAAGGCTCAGAACACACAGATGTAACAGCCACAAATGAAGCGTGGGCCTCGAAGTCCTCACACTGGGCCTCGAGTTACAGGGTTCATGCCCAGGGCGTGGGGTTACCAGGATTTTGTTTCTGGGTTCAGGGGACTGAACGCGAAGTCTTCAAAGAGAAAACCACTGGGCTACCGGCCAAAATACATAAGCCCCAGGGCCTTGTGATGGGACCCTGGCCATGTCTCACCCTATCGCAGCTACATTGTGTCCAGCTACAAATGACAAGGTTGTACCAGGAGGCCCATCTCTACAGTGTTTTGTTTTTAGTTTTCACATTTTCTTGGTGACTTCCTCTAAGATGATAATTAAGATAAACTCTAGAGAAAGTGGGAAGACCTGAAGGTACTATTATCAGTTAATTATATATATTTTTTCTTTATTGATTTTAGAGAGAGGAGAGGGGGAGAGAGACAGAAACATCGATGAGAGAAAACATCGACTGGCCGCCTCCTGCACGCCCCACACTGAGGATCAGGCCCACAGCCTGGGCATGTGTCCTGACCAGAAATCGAACCGGCAACCTCTTGGTGCATGAGTCGGTGCTCAACCACTGAGCCACATCGGCTGGGCCAAGTTAATTATATTTCAATGTTTTAAAAACTCAGCAGGAACATTATTTTGGAGGCATTAGGGCAACAGCCACAGAGCTCTGTTTATTAGCAAAAATGCAAACATGACAACAAGATCCAGTGGGTGGGGTACAAGTCACTGGTGGTCTCCTCTCTGCCGCTCCAGGCAAACTATTTGCTAAACATGAGCACGAGCTTTAAAAAAAAGCTTGTGGGCTTCCTCAGCCTCACAGGTGGATTTTGTTTGGCCATCAGAGTTGTAAAATTTGGGAAATTTCACATTTTCTGGCTTCTCTGAAAAACTCAAACATCTAACTGACTGGATCCAAAGAGTCGCTTCCTTCACTTGACCACAGTCCCCACCATTCCCTAATACTTATACACAGCTTACAGTCCCTTACTTACACGGCCTGCCTCGCCCCTGTTCTAGAAGCTTACCTCGAATTGAATGCCATATCTGTATGCCCACGGATGTTGTTTACTCTCACCTCGAGAGCTTTTCTATGTCTGCACCCGGGTCTAGTGCCCCTTTCAAGGCTAAGTCAACCCCGCTCGCTGAATCTCTGATACTCATCTATCTAATTTCCTCTTGATGCACACATATCAACGTTCCACTTTCTTTAGTAAGTACTACGGAGTTTTATAGGGTAAATACCTGGAAATGGACTCACGGGATAAATGTGTGTCTTGTACATGTGGAAACGTGAAAGATTTTAAATATAGTATTTAAATATAGTATTTAAAATTAGAAAGGCTTTGCCCTGGCCGGTTTGGCTCAGCAGTTAGAGTGTCGGCCCATGGACCAATGAGTCGCGGGTTCGATTCCAGTCAAGGGCACATACCCTGGTTGGTGCACAGTTGATGTGTCCCTCTCATGTCGGCGTTTCTCTCTCTCTCTCTCTCTCCCCCTCCCACTCTATCTGAATAAAAGATGGAAAAATGTCCTCGAGTGAGAATAAAAATAAATAAATAAAAAATAAAATTATAAAGGCATCACAAGATCACCTGGATTACATGGACTTACATGCCCGGGGAGGAAAAGCAGATCCTGGCCCTCGGACTTGTGGACATGCGTGTCTGCTACGGCGACAGAGCAGAGATGGACACTGCCCTCTGCTCACGTTCCCACTTGATGCTCTTCTGTCCACTTCATCGACTTTAGGCATTCTTTACCTATGGGGACCTTAGGCCTCCGTCATCTATGCTGCACTTTTCTCCAGTTGTCTTAGATTTTTTAATACATGGTTTTACCTTGGAAAAATTGCAAGTTTGTTTGCAACCACAATCATGACACTTCTTCTTTTTCTGGGATGGGTGTCCACAACCTGTCTCTGTGGTAGGCACAGTACTAATATATATGTGTATATATATATTTAATCTAAAAAACTAAATGCCTCTAGCTAAGGAATTCATTCTCCATTTCCCCACAGGATCCCACAATGTCTCTGTACTAACTCATAAATGGGTTACTTCATACTTTAAAAAAAATTTTTTTTCTTTATTGATTTTAGAGAGAGAGGAAGGGAGAGGGAGAGAGAGAACATCAACTGGCCGCCTCCTGCATGCCCCCAACTGGGAATCAGGCCCACAACCTGGGCATGTGCCCGGACCTGGAATCGAACGGGCAACCTCTTGGTGCAGGGGTCGACGCTCAACCACTGAGCCACACCGGCCGGGTGGGTTACTTCATATTTTTAAAGTTATCTGTCTGATCCCTTAAGATAGATTATATAGGTATAAGTGTAGGTGTGTGTGCGTGTCTGTGTGTAGACTATTTACTCCAGGACTTTCATGGTTTCATTATACACAATTTATTTATGTCTGGTGCGGTAAAAGAACACAACCCAGAACTGGGGTGGACTTTTCTGTTTTCCTGGTTGCAGCCGAGGGGCGGGGAGGCATCAATGCCTGCTTGTAGGTTTACAATCAAACAAACAAAAAATCTGCTTTTTTGGTCCCTTTATACAAATAACACAAATGCAAGGACCCCACGTATACTCCCTTCACCGAAAATAACTTTTTTTTTATTGCACTATATTTCCCACAAGGGTTTTTCTCTTAGTATATAGGCTTTTGCTTTAGAAACTTGCTTTTTGTTTGTTTTGTTAACATGTGACAACATTTACAATGGCTAACACTTCGCAATTTAACTCAGCAGTTCCCAAACCTGCCTGGGCAGCTGGTCTCCCCAGCAGAGCTTGTTAAAAATAATGAATCAGCAACCCTAGGGGGTGGACCCTGGGAAACTCTCTCTTTCACAAGTTCTTTGGAGGAGTCTGGGCCATGGCCAACTTGAACTGACTCCCCACCCCCCAGCCGTACCTGTGATCGTCTGAGTCTCCGAGGTGATGGTTCTGGTGGTGGTCTGAGTGTGGGTGGCGGGTACCGTCTCCTCCGACACAAACTGGACTGTGCTGGGGGCCGCCCCGGGCGTGCTGGTCAGCTGGCAGCCACTTTGCTTGTGAGCGACAAAGGCGTCCAGGTTGTTAAACTGCTGCTTGCAGATGCCACAGATGTGGATGTCGGGAGTCAGCTCGACCAGCACCGTCGTGCCGCCTGGAACTCCATGGGACAAAGGGAAAGTCAGAGTTAATCCCAAACAGTTCAAAATGACAATGCAAACCAGATCCGTGGCAGGTAAGACGAGCACAGTGCAGACATGCCCAGTGGCCGGTTAACGTCCATTCTACTTTGCCCTTCTGCCTGGCAAACAGAATTCCACTTCAGCCCTAGCAGGAACGTACCAGACCCAGGTAATGGCTCATAATGCACTTTTGTCCACACGGGCACTAGTGGCATTTTACACAAGGAAGTTCTTTGATGTGCATGTCTGCCCTGCACTTCGAAGAACTGCCTTCTCCTACCCCTGCTAAAGAATAGTTGTACTTACCAGTCATTATGAAAACCAATCCCTGCATATTTCCAACCCTTATATCTCCCCGAACCACCAGTCTAAATAATCTTGGATCCCTACATACTTGGGAACCCCTCCAGCACACCGCTAAAGGAGCTTCTGGAGAAAGTCTGGCTTTCATGATAAAAAGGGAACAGACATTTTGTTTTGAATGCAGATGTGATGATGGGGGCTTGTGCAGCCATATTGTAACTATGAAGAAAATACTAAGATGCTGGTCCTTACTTCACTGATCTCCCGAATCAACCAATGTCCAGATTTCTCATTAGGCTAGTATAGTTCAGTTTTGTTACTTATAGCCAAAATTCATTCCTAACTGATAGGGAGATTATTTCTCCATGGTAATGATACTAAGAAGTAATACTGTATTAACATTTGCAAAGTACCCACCACAGTACCTGGCACTATATTAGAAAGTGCTATGTAAATGTTCATGGAATAAAGAAACGCCGCTAGTTAATAAGTCTCTAATATGAGAACCTTAATTTTTATTTTAAAAAATTTCTTTGCCTTATTATAAGGAAACTCATGTTTATAACAGAAAATTTGGAAAAGAAGCAGCAGGGGAAATTACAACCTTTCAAACTTTGTGTACCATGAACATTACAAAAATATTTTCTTCCACTCATCTTGAACTAAAAATGGTTTCAATTAAAAACTGTTTATGATCATAATATATTGTAAAATTAATTTTTTCCCCACGTATCACATAAGCATTGTGCTACATCTCTAACATATATTTGTAAATAGAATTATGTAATAATACATTCACATTATTTCATGTTACCCATGCTTCATAATTTTCAGTAACTATAAGGTCTTTATATTATTTCCGATTTTCCCCATGTCTAAAGAATATGAGAAATACTCTGTGCATGTATGTATGGTTGGCATCCATGTATCATAAGTTTCTGAAAAGGTATAAAATAGTGATGTTACATTCAATTTCCCCCAAGTCTAAGACGGGAAATCTCTGTGGGGAAATCCAGTCGGGTTGCCTGGCTAAGGCAGATGCTCTGGGCTGGGCGGGGCTGTGTTTCCCTCAGCCATCTTGCAGAGCGCCCTGGGCACTTAAGTACTCTGAAGTCAGTGGTGGGGAGGAATGAAGCCTTTCCTTCAAAACCTCTGCAGCACTGCCTTCCCCAGCCGCTCAGGTGCTCACGGGGCTCACTGGAAAACAAGGGACCAAGAGATGAAGTGCCCCGCATCGCTGATGATTCCGGCCAAAGGCGCTGATGCCCAGGATGAAATTGTGATTAGCTTGTGCTGCACAGGCTGGTTATGAGGAGTACATGAGATGGAGCTAGGGGCAGCACAGGGGTCCCCACACCATCACGTCCCCTGGTTGGGTTATTCCTGAGGCACCCCATTTGAATGTGAAAGTATCCCCTCTGAAAATCTGCAATGATAACATATACCGACCTCTTGTGCTTGTAGTGAGGATGAACTGGGACCAAATCGAAAAAACACTGGGCACAGTTCCTGCTCACCACCAACCCAAAGAACTTCTTTCTCTGCAAAGTTGTCCAAACCTGAAAGACCTGGGGAGGTGGGCCAGGAGTTCAACAAGGACCCCTCTGAGCCCCACTTGGAGATGAGTCACAAAGGCGACGGGGTGAAGGGGCGCTGGGGTTTAGGGAAATCTGTGTTTTTCACAAATTATGGAAGTTGCACACCCAGCCAAGTTTGGGAGCCGGCTCCCAAACTGTTCACAGTAACAGGTAACCCGCTAAGTGCTTACTATGTGCCAGGGGTTCTCAAACTTTATGTGCACCCGAATCCCACACGGAAGGCCAGCAGATCTCTCTTCCCTCCATCATCCCCACCCCACGCCCCGACCTGATGGGTGGGGCCCCGGAGGGCTTGCTTTATTTATTTATTTATGTATTTATTTTAAAATAAGCCTCCTGCTCCCAGGTGGCTGGTTTGCGCTCGGCCCCTGGACCACACTTTGGGAAACAATGCACCAGGCGAAATCTGGGGCTGCTTTCAGGAAAATGAAAAGGAACCCCAAACTCAAAACGACCACGGCTCCATTCCCCATTCAAATCTCCGCCCTTCACGTGGACCAGGCTTTGCAGAAAGGCGGCAAGCCCGGCGGCCAGACCTCGTGAAGCCGTCCGATCCCCGGACTTCAAGGACTCGGGACGCAGAAGTTTTCCCACCAGCGCTGCAGCGGAACCCCCACCCCCCAAACTCCGCTGGGGGGCCCGGGAAATGTCCCACGGGGTGGCGATTGTCTGAACGGCAGGTCCTCTCCCCGCCCTCCCCCACCGTTCCCCCGCCTGGGGTCTTGCGAAACGGGGGGCGCCGCCAGCCGGAGCGGGAAGGTGCCCGCACCCCAAGCCCACTCCGGCATCTTCGGCACAGCGCGCCCGCCGCGGCTCCGAGGCGCAGGCACCGGGCCGTCACCCCGATTTCGGGGCCCCGGGCCTGCTCGCTGCGTCGCAGACGTGCTTGGGCCCGGGCCCCGGAGCGCGCACTGTGCCCGGAAAAGCACTTACTTTGCACGGAGCCCGGGAAGCTCTCGCCCTCGCTGTTCGCGTTCATGGCCGCAGACTGGGGGTCCCGGCCGGCGCGGCAGGGTGGGGGGCACTGGTCTACATGGTACAAGGGCTTTTCCTTTTATTTTTCCCACCCCCCCAGCCTTCCTTCTCCCAACTCTGAGAGGCGGGAGGACGGATGTAAAGCGAGCTCCACTTCCGCTGCCTAGAGGGCGCTGGCCGGACTCGGCCGCCCCAACCTGGCTTTGCACAAGCGGCTCCCCCGGGAAGCTGCCGGCCAATCCGGCGCCGGCCGCAGGGGCTCGCGGGGTCCCTCGGGGTCCCTCGGGGTCCGGAAGGCGCTGGGGGTCTGGGAGGGCAGGGCGCACGCTGGTGCAGGACGCGCCCCACGCCCGCACCCCTGCCGTCTTGGCCGATCGCTGGCCTCCCCGGCTCTGGCGCCTTTGCACCTGCCACCCCGGGCACCTGGTCCCCAAGGTGGCCAGGCAGCTGCATCACTGGGGTTGGGGGTGCAGAGAAGACAGCGCCGGGCTGCAGTGGATGGGTGGGTGCTCCGAATGCTGTGAGGCTGGGGTACCCCCTCCCCCAGCGTCAGCCCGAGGGCAAATCCAAGCGCTGGGTGGGTCCCTTGCCCAGCTAGTGAAATACAGACACCAGGATCGTGTACAGAAGACTAACAACCGGGACCAAAACGCTGAAGGCCCCTTGCTCCAGGGGTCGGCCAGCTGCACCCTGCACAGTCACCTGGAGGGCTAGTCCGAGCACAGACTGCTGGGCCCGCCCGCCCCAGAGCTTCTGGTTCAGTAGGTCTGGGGTGGGGACTGAGAACGAGCATTTCAAAGTTCCCGGGAGAGGTCCCTGCTTAGAGAGACCATCCTTGGCTTGCCCATTGTAATACTGCAGCCGACCCCCCCCCCCCCTTTCTTTTTAGAACTCCTTACATCTAACATTATACTGTATCTGGAGTCTATCTACCTACCTATCTATCTGATTGATAATTTGTTTGGGTATTACATTTCTCCTTCCCTTTTACATTCAATAAGTCCCCGTAAAAGTGGGAATTTTTTCTTTTCCTTTATTATTTTTTAAATCTCCGCTTCCCTGATCTATCCCCAGCAACCTGAGCCAGCGCCTGGCACCCAGCAGGCTCTCGGTCAAAGTGGCCGTATGACTAATGGGATCGGCTCTGCTGCTTCCTTTCAGGGTGTGTTCCTTCCTCAGGGACTACTTGTTTACACGTTTGCAATGTGCCAGGCACTGTGCTGGGTAGAGATACAAGGGTGGTCCAGAAAGAGAACTTGGCTAGTGGTCAGCAACTCGGTCAACACTACTCCAATCAGCAGTGGCATTTCTTGATAGTGATACGGTCTCAGGAGACAAAAACCAAGAATGCGATAGTGGCTGCAGGCATGGTCAAGGCAGGCCTGTCCGAGAGGTAATAGTTGAATGGGGTGGGAGGGCTGCAGTCCAGTCGGAGGAATGGGCAGGAGCAAGGGCCCTGAGGCAGGAAGGAGCTGGATGTGGGTTGGCTGCTGCTACCAGTCCACCTGCTGTCTGCCTCTCCTCTGCTACCTTGCTCAGGCCACCCACAGCCGCCTCCGTCTCTTGCTCAAACGCGACCAGCTCTCCCTGTCCCTGTCCCCGGGGCTCTCTATCCGCCTTTCCCTCTGCCAGGGTCCCGATTCCCTGGTCTCCGCAGGACTGGCTTCTTTCTGCCATTCGGGGCCAAATGGAATGTCACCTTCCCAGGGAGACCGCCCTCTTAAAAAAATTTTTTTTTAATTGATTTTTGAGAGAGAGAGGAAGGGAGATAGAAACATGGATGTGAGAGAGAAACATTGATCACCTGCCTCCTGCATGCCCCCTACTAGGGATAGAGCCTGTAACCCGGGCATGTGCCCTGACCAGGAATCGAACTGGGACCTCTCAGTCCATGGGACTGATGCTCAATCCACTGAGCCACACCAGCCCCGCAGGCCCTGTCTCTTATCTAAAGCACCTGCCCCTCTTGGTACTCTTTACTACATCACCTTCATTATACCTATCCCTAGATAACATGATTCAGAAAGGCCTTGCAGCTTAGGACAATATTTGTTTCTTAATGCCTCTGTGTGTGTGTGTGTGTGTGTGTGGTATTCATATATATTTTTAAAAACATGACTGTAACTCACATGATGTTTTTTAATCTCCTTTTTGGGGTATATATTATGACCTTTATTTAAAGAACACACAAATACTACATGGTTACGAACCATAGATAAACGGTATTTACATCTTTATGTACTATATATCTTTCTAGACATTTTCCCATAGAAATATAATAGAATGAACCACACGAACTGGTGATATTGTCTATTTTTAACTTAAAATGTTAATTTCATATGGTTCAAATCAATACAGGGGTGGGCAAAAGTAGGCTCACAGTTATGAGTAAGCAAAACAGTTTATTCTTGTATTATTTGTTAATTATTGTATTAATCTATATCACAACTGTAAACTGACTTTTACCCACCCCTGTATATAATATTATACTTCTGCTAGAGATTGTTGTTTTTGTACCCAACACTGGCCGTCTCGTATTTTCTTATTAGAATTTCTGATTTGCAGCGGAGTGCATGGCCTCCTGAAAAAGGCTTTTTCCAGCCTCCTTTGTAAGCTAGACATGGCTACATGACTAAATTCTGGCAACGTGAATGAAATGTTGTGATGCAACTTCTGGGAAATCTCTTAAAAATAACAGGTGCCATATGCCATCTTCCCCTCCTTTATCACTCCCTGCCTTCATTGCTTGGAATGAGGATGTGATGGCTGGAGCTCTAGCTGCTATTTTGGACTATGAGAAGGAGGGTATAACTCTAGGTATGTTGGGTTGGTGACTTCTTTATGGAGATGTCAACTAGACTGCCTACTTCTGAGCTTCATTTACACAAGAAATGCACTTTTATCTTGTTTCAGGTACTGTGGGGTGTGTATGTGTGTGTGTGGTTCTTTCCCGGGCAGCTGAGTCAACTCCTACTCAAACACAACATGATTCATACCCTGTTTCATAACTGGCTTTGATTCTGAAGAGTATTCACAGTTTGCCTGGTGCATTAGGAGGGCTGTGTAGTCGTTAAAGGTACAGACACCCCAGCCACACTTGTGGAGACTGTTCCAGAAGGACTTGTGTGAAGCCTGGGTACATATGACAAGCTCCTGGGGTGGATTTGGTGTGCTTGGCATGGGCAAACCTCTGCTCTTAGTTTTAATGGTTGCAGAATATTTCATGAATAAGGTCACATCGTGATTCATGTCATACGCTACTGGATATAAGTAACCTACTGCGGTCGCTTTGTTATTGGTCGATGTGAACACATTATCTCCACGACATTCTGAACATGTGGCCACTGGGACTGGCTTTTCATTCCGTTCCCTTTCCAGATCCTTTTCTCGCTGTGGGTTCCTTCCAGACGGAATTTCTCAGTAAGGGTTACATTTCTTAAACAGTTCACAGCCTTTGTGTGACGAGAATGCTCATGGTTTACCCCGTTCTGAAATTTCTGCTCACTTCTCATTTAACAGATGAAATGTCATGTAGAAATGGCAAACTGCCCGTGAAGTCCTGATGTACTGCAAACCTACTCCATGTTCGAGATCTAGAATCTAAAATAAGTTTGAATCTGTTGCCAGTGCTTAAAAGGTGATAGATTTCTCATAAAAATTGAGATTTAGAGCCTTTTTTTTGTTTTTTTTTTTTCTAAACTAAAAATCTGGCAAATCTGGGCCCAGACGATCAGATGGTAGCACTCGGCTGGGTCTGAGAAGCTCCTTTGCGTGAAGTCCGACCTCTCCAGTTTACCCCCTCCTCCCTGCTGCACTTGATATTAAGGCTGAGTATCAGTTCGCTAGATTGTTGGGCTACATGTATTCGAATTTATTAAAAATCTCCAATATGTTTCTAGTAGAAAAAGGGATTTATCCTTGACTATGGCTTAAATATTCCTTCACTAAAAATTTCAACCAAGGAATTACCTACGTTACCTGTCCTATGTCATTTAATGCTCTGAGCAGTAGAGAGGTGGGCACTATTATCGCTATTTTATAGATGTAGAAACTGAGCCTCACAAAGGTTAAATGAATTTCCTCTAGTCAAGAGGCCAATAAAGGATTATCTCAGTAAATAATCTGTGAGGGCAAGTAACAGAGCCCATAGAAGAACAGAGATTTTCCTAGTGTTTCAATAATCAATCTATTAGAGTTATTTCCTCGCTCAAATAATTCCTTGAAGGAGATTTCCAGACATTTCCTTAAATGATTAAGAGAATACACAATTTTTTATTCCAATACTATTAATCATAAGAATAATGAGATCATGGTCACTGGATTAACTGTAATAAGTTTTGTGAGCAAAGATACCCTCCTCCCAACAAAATAGGTCATAATTTCAGTGACCAAAATTTGTTCCACAGTAAACATTATAACAAATGTAGTTTTTTATAGCAATCATGCATAGTCCACTAAAATGTAAGTTCTCAGGACAAGAATTTTTATATTCTTTTGTTGTACATCAGCATCTGTAATAGGGATTGGTATATAAAAAGGGATGGGTGGATGGATAGGTGGATGGGTGGATGGGTGGATGGATGGGTGGATGGGTGGATGGATGGATAGATGGGTGGATGGATGGATAGATGGGTGGATGGGTGAGTGGGTGGATGGGTGGATGGATGGGTGGGTGGATGGATAGATGGATGGATAGATGGATGGGTGGGTGAGTGGGTGGATGGATGGATGGGTGGATAGATGGGTGGATGGGTGAGTGGGTGGATGGATGGATGGATGGGTGGATAGATGGGTGGATGGATGGGTGGGTGGATGGGTGGGTGGGTGGATGGGTGGGTGGATGGATAGATGGATGGGTGGATGGGTGGATGGATGGGTGGGTGAATGGATGGATGAATGGATGAAATCAAGGTTCCCTTGGAAAATCACTAATAAAGCAAACCTTTGACTGTTACAGAAAAGCATTTTTCCCTTTTCAGTAAACATATAGACGAAAGTGTGATATGATGACAGAAGCTAGAAAGACTATAGATTCCATTTGAATTGTATGGGAACTGGTATTCAGATACTTTTAAGACTCCCTTATTTTTCTAGACAAAGGCTCACAAGGATGGCTAACTCAGGGATTTGCATTCTCCAA